CCGGGCTGTATGCGGGATCCGAACCCTCGGGCGGCAGCGCCGCCGCGCCTCCCAAGCGGCGCACTATCCAGTGCGCCACTGGGCCGGCCCGTCCATTCTTATTTATTGAAGCATTTTTGTGTTAAAGTCAATGTTTAAAAATACTTATGTGAGCACAGATACTATGCAATGAAAGACAAGAGTAAAGTTTCACATTCATATACATGTGTGTGTATATATATATATACACACACACACACATATATAATTATATAAATACATGTATTGTTTATATATTTGTTGTTATATATTATTGTATCAATAGTACATACCATTTGTCCATTTATTATCATTATCATTATTTGTGCTCCTATATGTCTTATAATATATAATGTTTTTTTTGATATTTAACTTTTTGAATTGATTACATATTTGGTGCTATTTAGAGTTAATTGCATATTCAGTGCTCAATAGTGTTTGAAAAATAAATAAAAGAATGAATGGACTAGAAAGTCATGGTTCAAACTGTTAGAACAGAGTCCATAGTTTTAAGTATGCAATGTAAGTTGACATCTGCAATATATTGTATTTTTTTTCCCTTGGACCACAGAATAGAGTCTTCTCTAAAAGTAGAGATATAAAAAGTATAAAACACCATTTTCTTTTTTAAATTTAATTTATTTTATTTTATTGTAGTTACATGTAAACTCTATTCTGGACATCATGCTCTGTATATATTATGAGAAATATGATGTTAAGCGATACAAGGATGTGTATACATTTCAATACAATTTTTCTGAGATTAAAATGTATACACCAAATTTAGCAATGTAATAATTAGTGATTTCTAATTTGGCATATTATGGCAGTTAAGAACTAATCTCATATTGTGATATTAGTTGGCAACTAGTGGTTGACAAGAGACAGATGTTAAGATATAAATAAAGAAATCAAAGTGTAGATTTGCTAATCATTAAATGGCAAATAGCAAAAGACTTATTTAAAGACCATGTCTACTAGCAGGGCTTCATGATTTACCATGAGATTTCCTGATGAAAATAATCTATTGTAATTACCATTTTGAAGTTTACCTGAAAGTATGGGGTTTGGCATTCACTGTAAATAACTGATGTTCTATGCTTTGGAAACATAGATAGTGATGCTAAAAGTTATGATCTTATTTTGTAATTTGGGGGAAGAAGAAAAGTAATTTAGGCCCATTGACTGGCTTTAGTCTCTGCCAGGACGTAGGAATAAGAAAATGTGACAGAAGAAAGAATAGAGATGGGCAGAACTTTCTGCACTGTTTGGAACTGTGTGTAGGGTGTATGGGGTGGGTAGAAACTCAGGAAGGGCTAGAAAAGAACTGGTCTCTTGGGACCTTGGAAAAGTATATTGACTTGAGTTAAAATCATATTACTGGGAAATTACTACTGATTACTAAAATGGTCAGAAGTAAAACAGAAGCAGGTCATCTAGAATTCACTGATAATGAGCATGACTGTAGCATAGCTAATCTCAAAAACTTAAATTAACATGATATTGTTTTATCAATTTCTTAAATTCAGGAGGAGATGTATACAAGAGAAAATTCTATTTTTAAATTTTAGGAATTTAAAAATGTATTAATAATTCAAATAATACTTCACAAGTATCCCAAAATCAGAATTAGAAAATGCTCTAATAGCAGTAGGTTCATAGCTTTTTGAATGTACTTACTGATGATCCTCTGTTAACATCCAGGACAAAATTTTCAGAATTACTGTTTGTTGCTTGCAATTCTAAAGTTTCATGTGTAGGATTAACTAAGGGAATGATCTGAGTGTCATATCTGGAAAGAAAAATAAAGCTAGTGAAGTTGCTGGTATTCATAAACTCAATGATAATTTCATAAACTTGTTGACCACTATGGGTTGAATTGTGTCCCCCCAAAATATGTTGAAGTTCTAACTCCAAGTATGTCAGAATTTGATGTCATTGGAATTAGGGTTGCTTCATATGCAATTAGTTAATGTGAGGTCATACTGGAGTAGGGTGGGCCATTTATTCATTATGACTGGTGTCCTTCTAAGAAGACTATGTGAAGACACACAAGAAGATGGCCATATGACAATGGAAGTAGAGATTCAAGTGATATATCCAGAAGTCAAGGAAATCCAAAGATTGCTGGCAAGCACCAGAAGAGGCAAGGAAGAATTCTCCTTTACAGGTTTCAGAAGGAGCATGGTCCTGCTGGCACCTAGATTTTGAACTTCTAGCCTCCAAAACTGTGAGACAATAAATTTATGTTGTCCTTACGCCGCCCAATTCATGGTGCTTGTTATGGGCCCTAGAAAATTAATAACATGACTTTTATGAGTTTCAAAATAAGAATAATCATGTATGGACTAATGACACTTTGCTAAAATAAATAATCCTAGATTCTCTTTTTTATTTTTGAGACCATATGTTATTCCATACTGGATATTGGAATATATTCCAGTTATAGGAGCAATGTTTATACATTGTTTTATACTTGCTAAATCCAGCCTAAAATGTCAACGTATTCTAGAAGTAATAACAGAGTAATAAATTCACAAAATTTCCATTCATAACATTAATAACATTCAAATGGATGGAGTAAATGGCCAAAAAAAAAAGTGGCTGGTATATACTCGAAGCAAAGAAAATCAAGAGTGTTCATAATTATCAACCAGCCATCACATTCTATGGCTTTTGATGTACAGAATCCAAATTGTCATCTTGCCCCACTTGTTGGACCCAGAGGAGAGTGCCAGGCCATGCCCCCCGGCCCGCACTGAGGTGAGACCAGAAGAACTGTATGGCTAGAAGTGGCCACTCCCCACTCCTTGGACCTGGAAGGGAGCATCGGGCCTGTGCTTCCCAGCCTGTGCCAAAGTGAGCCCAGCAGAACAGCATGGCTAGAGGCGGCCCCTACCCCATCCCTGGACCCAGAAGGGAGCACAAGCCCGCAGGGTCTGACGTACTGAGGTGAGCCCAGCAGAACTGCACAGCACTAGGGGCTCATTCTATGACCACAGATTCTGAAACATGACCCAAGGTGGTTTAACATAACCACCACCACAGCTACTGTCAAGCATAGACAATTCGCCACCACAGTAACAACCAGGGCCACTCCACAGCAAAACTCCATGTAACAGAAGAAGCAAACCCTCTGCCAAATAACCAAAAGTCAATGAAAAATATTAGAAGTACAAATGGACAAGAAGAAATGACACCACCAAAAGAATACAGTAATGATCCAAAGTCAGACTCCATGGAACAAGGATTCCTTGAAATGTCTGAAAAAGAATTTCAAGCAATGATCTTAAGAAAACTTGAAGAAATAAAGGAAGACTCAATTAGAGAACACAATGAAACAAGATAAAATATCCAGAATATGAAGGAGGAAATCTACAAAGAGATTAATGCCGTAAAAAAGAGTGTAGTAGAACTCCTAGAAATAAAAGATTCACTCAATGAAATAAAATACATGACTGAGAGCTTGAGCAGCAGGGTAGAGCAGGAAGAAAGAATTTCAGAGCTTAAATATGGTCTTTTTGAAATAACTCAGGCAGACAAAACAAGGAAAAGAATATTTAAAATAATAAGGAAAATCTAAGAGACATAGCAGACAATCTCAAGTGTTCTAGAATCTGAATTGTGGGTATTCCTGAAAGGGAGGAGAAAGAAAAAGGTATTGAAAACCTACTCAAGGAAAAAGTAACAGAAAACTTCCCAGGTGTAGGGAGAGAAACAGACCTTCAGATCCAGGAAATTCAAAGGTCCCCAAAAAGATTCAATCCAAAAAGATCCTCCCCAAGACACATTATAGATACATTTGCAAAGCTCAAAGACAAAGAGAGAATTTTACAAGCAGCAAGAGAAAAGCATCAGGTCACTTACAGGGGAATCCCCATCAAAAACAGCAGACTTCTCAACCAAAACCACATAGGCCAGAAGAAAGTGGAATGATATGTTCAAAATATTAAAAGAAAAAAAATTGCCAGCCAAAAATTCTCTACCCAGCAAGTCTCTCCTTCAGAAATGAGAGAGAAATAGTGTATTTCCCAAATAAACAAAAGTTGTGGGAGTTCACCACCACACAACCAGCCCTGGAAGAAATTCTCAAGGGAGTCATTCATCTGCAATCTGAATAATGCTGACCACTATCACAAATACACATGAAAAAGCAAAACCCACCATTAAAACAAAAATGCAAGCAAGAAATAAAAAGAAGCTAAAATATCCCACCTTAAATTCCCAACTAACGCTGAAGAAGAGAAATAAAAGGGGAAATAATAATCAAAAGATATTTAAACCATCTAAACAAGAAGCAATTAAATGACAGGAATTAAGCAACACTTGGATTAAAAAGGTAGACCCAAGTATATGCTGTCTTCAAGAGACCCACCTCACCTGTAAACTAAAAGTGACAGGATGGAAAAAGATATACCATGAAAATGGAAACCAAAAAGAAGCAGGAGTAACTATTCTTATATCAGAAAAAATAGACTTTAAAACCCAAAACATAAAAAGAGATGAATAAGGCCACTATATAATGATAAAGGGATCAATCCAGCTAGAAGACATAACAATCATTAACATGTATGCACCCAATACTGGAGCACCCAGATATATAAAGCAAACACTCTTAAATCTAAAGAAAGAAATAGTAACTAATGCATTAATAGTGGGTAATCAGATGCCCCTCTCTCAGTATGGGACAGATCTTCCTGGCAAAAAGTCAACAAAGAGACACAGGATTTAATCTACACCTTAGACCAATTGGACTTGGCAGATATATACAGAACATTTCACTCAACAACTGAAGAATACACTTTCTTCTCATCAGCTTATGGTACATTCTCTAGGATAGACCACATATTAGGTCACAAACCTGGTTTCAGCAAATTTAAAAAATTTGAAATCATTCCAACTATCTTTTCAGACCAAAATGGACTAAAGTTGGAAAAAAACAATAAGCAAAACTCTGGAAGCTATACAAATACATGCAAACTAAATAAGAGGCTCCTGAATGACCTATGAGTTCAAGAAAAAATTAAAAAGGAAATCAAAAAATTTTTAGAAACTAATGAAAATAAAGATACCTCTACCAAAACGTGTGAGATACTGCAAAAGCAGTACTAAGAGGTAAATTTATTACAATAAATGTTTATATCAAAAGAATGGAAAGACTTCAAATAAACAACCTGACACTATGCCTCAAAGAACTTGAAAAACAACAACAATCCAAACCTAAAAGTAGTAGATGGAAAGAAATAATTAATATCAGAGCAGAATTAAATTAACTAGAGACCCAAAAAACAATAGAAAAGATCCACAAAACAAAAGTTGTTTTTTTGAGAAGATAAATAAAATAGGCAAACCATTATTTACATTAACAGAAAAAAGAAGAGAGAAGACCCAAATAACAAAAATCAGAAATGAAAAGGGAGACATTATAACTGATACAACAGAATCATCAGAGACTATTATACACAACTGTATGACAACAAATATGAAAATCTGGAAGATATGGATGTTTCTACACAAGCAAACTACCAAGACTGAACCAAGAAGAGATAGAAAACCTGAACAGACCAATAAAAAGCAAGGAGACTGAAGGGATAATTAGCAATCTTCCAACAAAGAATAGTCAGGATCTGGATGGTTTCTCAGCTGAATTCTGTCAAACTTTTAAAGAGGAGTTAATATCAATTCTCCTCAAACTATTCCAAACAATTGAAACAGAAGCTACTCTCTGAAACTCATTCTATGAGGCCAACATAACTACGATACCAAAATCAGATAAAAACACAACAGAAAAAGAAAATTATTGCCCTATATCCTTGATGAATCTTGATGCAAAAAACTTCAACAAAATATTAGCAGTCAGAATACAGCAGCATATTAAAAAAAAATTATACACTGTGATAAAGTGGGATTCTTCCCAGGGATGCAGGGATGGCTCAACATATGAAAGTCAATAAATGTGATACATCACATCAACAAACTCAAGGACAAAGGCCATGTGATTATCTTAATATATGCTGAAAAAGCATTTGACAAAATTCAACATCCATTCATGATAAAGACTCTCAACAAATTAGGTATAGAAGGAAAATATCTCAACACAATAAAAACCATTTATGACAAGACCACCGCGGGTATTATTCTGAATGGGGAAAAATTGAGGGCCTTTCCCTTAAGAACAGGAACAAGAAAAGGATGCCCACTCTCACCATTATAGGTACTAGCCAGAGAAATCAGGCAAGAGAAAAAAATAAAGGGAATCCAGATTGGAAAAGATCAAGTCAAACTTTCTCTATTTGCAAGTGACATGATACTATATTTATTCAGAATAACCTAAAGACTCTAACAAAAAAACTCCTAGAGATAGTTAATAATTTCAGAAACATCGCAGGATACAAAATAAATGCCCCCAAATCAGTAGCATTCATATACTCAAATAATGAATTAACAGAAAGAGAAATAAAGAAAGTAAGCCCATTTACAATTGTCATGGAAAAAATAAGATACCTAGGGATCAATTTAACCAAGGAGGTGACAAACCTCTACAATGAGAACTACAAACCACTTTGGAAAGAAATTAAAAACAAAAAAAGATGGAAAGGTATTCCATGCTCTTGGATTGGAAGAATTAACACTTTGGAAATGTCTATACTACCCAAAGCGATCTACAGATTCAATGCAATCCCCATCAAAATACCAATGACATTCTTCACAGAAATGGAAAAAAACAACCTTACCTTTCATATGGAAAAGGAAAAGACCCTGAATAGCCAAAGCAATCCTGAGCAAAAAAAA